AACTGCTGGTGGCGAAACAACCGAGATTAATCAAAAGGTCGAAGTATTTTTAGACTTACAAGGTTTCAAGACCAAGGTGACAGCCTACGTGTTCCCCACTAAGTTTGATGTAATTCTAGGTCGAACTTGGTTGAAGGATGTCGATCCGCGCCCTGACTGGTCCAACGATACTTGTATATACAGAGTAAAGACAAGAAACAGCAAGTTGAACTAGTTCCTCGAAATGACTACCGTCAAGGACGTCCTACAATCCTCAACTGAACTACTTGATATCAAAAAAACAGGCGGAAAAGAGTATTCGTAGAGGAGCTGAGAGTTACTTGTTGTACGTAAATTCTGCTGAAGTAAACGAAAGAAATCCTATGGTTGTAAAAGAAGAATACTGGGATAAAATAGTGAAAGAATTCTCTTCAGTTTTCAAGGATGAATTACCTGGGCTACCTCCGGAGCGTGACGTAACTCATGTCATCAACACGGGAGAAGCCAAGCCTATCAGTCGCCCTCCATTCAAAATGAGTCCTGCCGAACTAGATGAACTGCAAAAGCAGATCAAAGAACTGCTACAATTAGGCCTGATTCGTCCAAGCGCTTCGCCTTGGGGAGCACCTGTTCTATTTGTGAAAAAGAAAACTGGAGAAATGCGAATGTGCATTGATTATCGTGCTTTGAATAGTGTAACCACTCGGAACAACCACCGTTACCAAGGATCGATGAATGTTTAGATCGCCTGCAAGGTGCCACTTATTTTACAAGTCTTGATTTGAAGTCGGGCTATCACCAAGTGCGCATCAATCCAGAAGATGTGCCAAAGACGGCGTTTAACACCAGATACGGACAGTTTGAATTCTTGGTTTTACCATTCGGACTTACCAATGCTCCTCCAACGTTCCAAAGCTTAATGAACAAAATCTTGGGTGACTACTTAGACAAATTTGCTTTGGTTTATTTGGATGACATTTTGATTTACAGTAAATCACTAGAAGAGCATAAGCAACATGTACGCATGGTATTGAACAAACTCAAAAATGCCAACCTAATCGCAAATCTAAAAAAATGTGAGTTTGGTAAACGAGAATTGACATTTGTTGGATTCGATATCACCTCCAATGGTATCTTACCTAGTCGTGCCAAAATCAAGGTATTAAATTCATGGCCTGCCTTGACCAATGTCCAAGAAGTCAGATCTTTTATTGGCCTAGCTCAACATTACCGACGTTTCATTCCGGGATTTGCATCAATCGCTTCTCCTTTGACTGATCTCACTAAAGGCACTGGTCCTAAACGACGTCCTATTGTCTGGACTAAGGAGTGTCAAGAAAGCTTTGATAAAATCAAGACAATGATGGTCTCTGCCCCTGTGCTACAAGCTCCTGATATGAATAAGCCTTTTAGAGTGGAAACAGATGCATCTGATTTTGGTTGTGGTGCTGTGCTTTTGCAACCCGATGATAAGGACCCTCCTGCGTGGCATCCGGTAGCATACGAATCGAAAAAATTCTCCTCTGCAGAACGTAACTACCCTGCTCAAGAGCGTGAATTGATGGGATCTTACATGCACTTCGTACTTGGCGATGTTTTCTTGATGGTTGTCGCGGAGGCTACAAGATCTTGACTGACCACCTTCCCAACTGTTACTTGAGGTCGCAAGATAAAATGAGCCCAAGATTGGTGCGTTGGATGAACGAGTTGGAGCTTTACTCACCTACTATTGAGTACAAGCCTGGTAAAGAAAACAATGCAGCTGATGTATTGTCTAGAATCGGTGGCCCTGAATCTACTAGTGCTGAGTCGTCCTTAGAACCAGAATTCTTATATGCTACTTGGACAATGAAGAATGCACCAGAATCTATCCAGCTGGATTGGCCTATGCTCTATCTTGATCTGAATAGAGTTAAGTCTGCCGAATTAAGACACTATCTAGAAAAAAAGCATGAGAAATTTGTGGTTAAAGATCGTCGTGTCTATCGTTTGGTTCAAGTAGATGACAAACAAACAACAAAGGCGGTTCCTTTCGTACCTTTTGCTTCAAGGGCTGATCTGGTTGCTCGCTATCATGAGGCGAATGGTCATGCTGGTTTCGAAACCATGGTTAAGCTTTTTACACCTCGTTTTTGGTGGCCAAGTATGAAACGTGATTTGAAAGATTGGTTGAAAACATGTCCTGCATGTCAAGTCAACAGCCGACCTAGCCATACCCACCATGACGTTATGCACCCCTTAAAGATACCTACTGCCTTTGACCGATGGCACCTAGACTTCATTGGCGAACTACCTTTGACCGTAAAAGGAAACCGTTGGTTATTAGTCGCTGTTGACTATGCAACTAACTGGCCAATTGCCCGTGCCGTACCTGCCGCCACTAAGGAAGCTGTTGCCGATTTCATCTACGAAGAAATCATGATGCGTTTTGGTTGCCCCTCTGAGGTATTGACGGATCGAGGTTCCAACTTTAACAGCGAATTGGTCAACGCTTACCTGAAAAGAGTAGGTGCCCATCATAAACTAACCTCTGCCTACCATCCTCGTACTAATTCTAAGGTGGAACGCTTCAATGCTGTGATAAAGGGCATGCTTAGAAAATATGTGAACGGCGCACTGCATCGTTGGGATGATTTTGTTAACGCGGCTCTTTGGGCTTCAAGAATACGAGTACACTCGACTACCGGTTACAGTCCTTTCTTCTTAACTTATGGCCGAGAACCAAGACTACCCGGCGACCCATTAGTGCCTTATCTTGATAAAAAGACATTTGCTGATGAACGAACAATCGCTGATTTGACTTCAAGGGAATTAGCAGATTTGGGTCAACACCGTGCAGCCGCAGAATTCCGAATGAAAGCTATGGCTGACAAAGACAAGGAGAGATGGGACGCTCAGATCAAGAAGGTTGCGTTCGAAGTTGGCGATAAAGTGGTTCTCACGCATGAAGGCCGTTATGGACTAGAACCACATTACAAAGGACCCTACATTATTGTTCAATCTTTCCCTGATTTCGGTACATACAAGCTACAAACTTTAGCGGGTGAGCCGTTAAAATCATTGGTCCACATAGATCGATTGCGCTTAGCTAATGGACATTCATCTTCTGAACCCTGGTATGACCCTACAACTGCTCGACAAGAATGGCGTTCTGTCATGACAAACATTGGACGTTCAGCGGTGGTACCATCTATTCCCCCTCAATTGGCCACAAATGACATAATTGAAGAGACACCTATCGATGCAACTGCTACCATTCCTGAACCTACGGCTGATGAAGTTGATCCCAGTATTGACCATGTTGATCCTGTTGATACAAATGACTCCATACCTATCATTGACTCAACTAGCACAATAATCACTCCTATTAGTTCGACACCACGCATAGAAAATGCAACTGGTACACAGGTATACGACTCAAACTCACCATTCTTGCCGACCTTGGATTTACCTGACCAAGCTATGTCTCCTACCATATACAATCAAAGCCATTCTTCGTTAAAGGTATCTTCTCCTGTCTCGAAACTGGCAGCTGAACCTGTTATAACAAGTGATGAGTCCCCTTTGGACATTAAACACGACAATGTCCTACCTACTACAAACAATTCACAGATGCTTTCTGTCTCTGCACCTCCTTGCGATTTCGCCATAGATACTACTGAACCAATATCTATTGCCAATGACGAATTTGTCGACGCTCAGGAAATCCTCACAGACTCTGCACCTAATTCGTTAGATCTACCTGATTCCGAGTTTAACATTGACATTGATGTTGACGATGCTGAGGACGTGGATGACTCTTTTACAAATTCTACTACCAATCCGATGTCGGTTTTGTCTGGTATTCAAGACGCGTCTGCTCCTTGCTCCTCATTTACAGTACCTCCTTCTAACCAAGCTTCTAATGTTCAGAGACGAACATCAAGCCAGGAGGGGGGTAATGTCACAGAAAATAGCGATTCCAGTAAGAAACAGCCAATTGAAGTTGAATATAACCTTCCAACAAACTATAATCCGAACAAACGAAGGTTTAAACCACAAGTACTGAACAAAAGAAGAAAGAAAGTCCGCCTCAACTTGATTCGCATTAGTAAAGCCAAGCACACTTTAGATTCGTCAAGACAGAAACATCAATCAGCTTTAAGTATTTAATTACTTCCTTCTCCATATGTTATAGTTTATATATTTTAGTACAATTAGAAAACATATAAATACTGTGTTATTGATACTTGTAAGTTCTTCATCTTATACTTACTGTATCAATACACAGGTAACATTACATTTATTATAAATAAAGATCTTATACTTACTGTATCAATACACAGTTCCTTTCTGTGACGTCACGTTATTTCCAGAATATTTCCCAGTGAATCTATTGGCTAAGAAACGTTCTATTGTCTCGTGACTTGACTATAAGAATACAAACCTAAGTAAAATATCAAATCGACATTTCAAGCAATTGCCTTCTTGGCTCAGTTGGCAGAGCGTCTGCCTAGTAAGCAGAAGGTCGCTAGTTCGATTCTGGCAGAAGGCAAAGCAAGCTTTCTTTTCTAAGGAACTCCATCTGGGTCCTTAGGAAAAATTTTTTTCGACCTTAAAGAAATTGTCGTCAACAGTTCAATTGAATGTTCTTTTTTTTGCGCACAAACACGACCAAAAATCCTAAAGTCACAGTTATTGTAGTGTTAAAGAACAAAGATAGAGATTGCAGCAATTTGTATAAACATAAAGCAATAAATATAACAGAGCAATGGGCAGCAAGTTATATGTAATGAACACCAGGTTTTAAGTCGTCCGACTATGTTATTTGTATAAGAAAGAGAAGATACAAAGTGATAATATAATATAACGTACAATGATCGAAGGCAATGTAGGATCAAGGGTCCCATTTAGACAAATGATATGATAATAGTCTAGTTAAAGCAAAAGACAATACAAGTAAGGTACAATTGTATGTCTAAGGTAGTTTAAGGGTTGGATTGAATCTCTGTATTTAAGTTGAATTGTTCTGGTATCTATATCTATTCTAAAGTAGTCATTGTAAAAGTGGTACGATATGTCAAGCGTTTGCTGACTAAAATAAAATGAGCAATATGTGCTAAAGTCTAATGTGATATAGAGTAATACAATAATTGGGATTCAAAGTAAAAGAATAGGTATTCTGTGTCACAAATAGCTGTCAGAATTTAGAGTTGGGTAATAAGTACATAATATGGAAATAATCATTTCGTAACAATGTACGCATTAGAAAAACATTAAATCTGCACCACATAACCCAGAATGTCTATTCATTTATGACAAATGACACTATATAAGCTTCTTTTTTGGATATTGAAAAACCCTCAGTACATAGTGCTGCAGAGTATTATTATTAAAAAAAGCATGTTACTTGTCATAAGAATCATTCTTTCTCCCAATGACTTTATAAAAGTAATCATTTTTTATTTATTCTATTCCATAACGAAAACATCATCAGTATCATCTCTTTGGTTCTGTTTCTTTTTCTTCTTTAGTTTCTTGTAATGAAAGAGATGGTTTTCATCGCGCGGTATAACCAGAGATGGAGGCCAAGGTACAGGTGGTTTATCAATTATGCTTCCCACAATAAATGTCGGATCATCCTTCTCATAAAAAGCACTAAAGCTACTTTCTGGTAGAGAGTGCACTTTTCTTTCTTTGTCTAATGACTCTATTATTGTTTTTGTTGTGTTTGGAATGGAGAGAGGCCTTGATTTTTTAGGAGCGGATGCTGTAGCATAAGAGTCCAAAGTGGATATGTCTTCTGAAGGTGATGAATTAGGATCGATAGGTGTAGGAATATCATGAGGGATTTGATCTTTTTTGAAGGGGTTCATTTCTCTTTGGTCTATGAATAATCTATAAAACAAAAAAGAAACAAAAAGTAACCAAGCAAACTGTTTCTTTTTATATATTTCTTAAAAAAAAAAGGATGTCACTTGAAAAAGATGACACCATTTACCAACTGATCGTACCATAGAAAGCATAACATTGTCATATTATTCTTACTATCTGGTACGTAAAGTTTGGTACATGCAATATGATCAACAGTGATAATGAGAAAAGTGACATAATTCAAGTAAAATAAAGGTTGCCCGTGCACATATCATCAGGTTATTTTCTATATATAGGATAACAAAAATGATTTAAGCAAAAATAGTACTGACAAGCCAAAAAAAAAAACAAGTGGGACATATGAATTCAATGTTATTTCTCTAACAAACAAATGACCATTTTTATTCATGTAAAAAAAAGAAAAATGATCAGTTTCGTATTTGCTTCAAAAAAAAAAAAAAAAAAAAAAGAAAAAACTCAATTTGTTTTCTCCTTTTTTTTCTTATGTATTTATCAAAATGTATACCATACAGGATTATGTCTGCTACAATAAATGCTCTTGCAGCTCTATGTCGAATAAAAAAAAAGAATGATTCTGCTAGTAAATTTAAATGTCAACAGCCTGATCATGAAGAATGCATTTCATGTTATTTTGAGTATCAATATCTTTTTTTCGTACATGTAAATCAAGCATAAAAATTCAAACAGAGAAAAGAGAAAGAAAGAGAAAAAGGCCTTACAATAAAAAATATTTCAACATTCAAATAATTTACGCTCTTAATTTATCTAACACTACCTTTTATTTTTGAGGAAATAAGGAAACATCATGCAGGAAAAAACGCATTCCACAATTTACAACAGTCGATCTATGCCTAGAAGGATAGAATAAACCCACCCCCTTTTATCTCCTTCTTTCTCTTGTTCCCTATCTTTCTCCTTTTTTTTTCCTGTTCCTTAGACAAAGCAACAACTTTGACTTTTCTCTTTTTTCTTTTCTTTTTTTCCAAAGAATTATATCATGTCATCTTCATCGTTAAACGTTGATCCTGTAGTCGTAAGATTTTTATTTAGTAAATGTCCATAACTCATGATGAAATAGTCTTCGCATCAAACTTCTTTGGAAGGATATGTCGGCTTTGACACAATTACCCAACAAATTGAAAAGAAATTGTTAAAGAGAGGATTTCAATTCAATGTGATGGTTGTTGGTAGCGTAATTTTATAGATATAGTCAAACCCGTTTGTTTAATTGGCTTATAGGTCAATCCGGTTTGGGAAAATCTACTCTTGTCAACACTATCTTTGCTTCTCATCTGATTGAAAGCAAAGCACGTCTTTCTGCTGATGAGCCACCTAGACAAACAACTGAAATTCAAACTGTGTCTCACTGTAAAGCATCTTCCCTCCTTATTATTTCTCCTATATTTTTACTCACTCATTTTTTTTAGTGATTGAAGAAAACGGAGTACGTCTTAGACTAAATATTGTGGATACCCCTGGTTATGGAGACCAAGTCAATAATGAGAATTGGTAAGTTTCTTTATACAAGGCAAAAAAAAAAAAATTGATTTTATCATATTAGTTGGGAGCCCATTATTAAATACATCAAGGATCAACATTCTGCTTATTTGCGTAAGGAATTGACTGCTACCCGTGATCGTTACATTCAAGATACCAGAGTTCATTGTTGCCTGTTCTTTATTGGTCCTACAGGACATGCGTATGTAGTTCATCACCGGGTTCTTTATGATTAACACTGTCCATAGTTTAAAGCCTATTGATGTGGTTGTTCTTAAAAAATTATCTGAAGTAGTTAATGTTGTACCTGTCATTGCCAAATCAGATTCTCTTACTATTGAAGAACGCCAGGCTTTTAAGCAAAGAGTAAGACCTGTATATTTCCTTTTGAATATTTCCTAAACCATCGTATTAGATTAAGGCAGAACTTGTTTTCCACAATATCAAGTTATATCCTTATGAAAGTGACGAGGACGATGAACAAGAACAAGCTTTGAATGAAAGCATTCGAGTAAGTCATTGTCATCCTTAGAGAAAAAAAATTGATCCATTCGACAGGAGTTACTTCCCTTTGCCATTGTTGGTTCTGAAAGAAATGTAGTGATTGATGGAAGACCCGTCAGAGGAAGAAAGAATAGATATGGTGTGATTAATGGTAATATAAACAAACAAAAGAAAAGAAACTATCCATTCATTTTTTTTGTATTGTCTAGTTGAAAATGAAGAACACTGTGAATTTATTTATTTGCGCAATTTCTTGACCCGTACTCATCTTCAGGATCTGATTGAAACAACAGCTCAAATTCATTATGAAGCCTTCCGTGCCAAACAACTTTTGGCTATTAAAGAATCGACTCAACCTGGTACCAATCCTCTTGGAAGTGGTGTTCCTTCCAATACTAGTCCTAATAGTCTAGTCAGTAACTCACTTGCCATTCCAGGCTCAGCTATGGGAAGTCCTGCTCAATCCACTAAATCTGTTCCTGCCTTTGGCTAATCATATCATTAATAAATTTCCGTGTTTCCATTTTTTTTTGCCCTGAATCCTTTTTTCTTTTCTTCGATACAAACAATGGCAGATATGAGAAATGTAAATAACTGGCAAGTATATATATATATATGCCCCCTTTTTTTGAGACACTAACCCTTCAACTTAGGCACTGGTAAGATTCGTTTGTGACTCCATAGCTTATACTTATCGTGTTATAGGGTCAACAAAGACTGTAGGCCTTGGGCTAAAGATTATTGGAATAAACAAATAGTAGGTCTATCTGTACAAGAGAAAAAGATCCTTGTCTCCATCACAAGTCTCGACGAGTGTACAGGTGATGTTGACTTGAATCAGAGAAAAGGCAAGTTGCTTGCTATTTACGATATGGCTTTGAAATTTGGTTGGCAAGGTAACCAGAAAATCAAGATGGTAACCATAGAGAATAATTTCGGGAAATAGGTCAATCGTCAAATGGTTCAAAAGTATTTGGTACAATTCAAGTGCCTGAAGTAGCCTATGATACAGATAAAGAGGATTATGTTGTAAGCAAAGTATTGTAGTTGAATAACAATGTATAGTAACAGTACATAAGTTTAGTATCATCGTCAACAACAACCAAGAGGCAGATGAAGTCAAAAAGCTGATTCGTAGTCAATTGGTTCCTATGATGAGAGACAAGTTTGCTCGGTTTACAATCGATTTGGTTCAGAGTATGTAGTTGATTGAGTTGTACTTTATCTGATGTGTATACATTCTATAGATTATAGTTCAGATCTCTATACCAACACATCACCCAAACCTGAAATAGTTAAAAAAAAACCAGTAGCAACTATGCCACATTATGAGACCAAGAAAGAAGAAAAGGTAGTAAAGACAACTCGGCTTGATCTCTCTTATAAGCTAAGAGGTGTAGCTTCAAATGATCTCTATGAGACACTGCTTGATTCTCGACGTGCAGATATCTGGACACTTGGACCCTCTCAAGTATCAAAAAAGAGTGGTAGCGAATTCAGATTTTTTGATGGTAATGTACATGGCAAAATAGTACGCTTGGTAAGAAATAAGGCTATGACTTTCGTATGCAATGCTCATATGGATCTTCTTAGGTTCCGGGAGAAATGATTGTACAAACATGGCGACTTAAACATTGGCCCAAGGGTAAGCCTCCCACAAGACAACAAGGGACTTATAATTTTTTACAGACCATTATTCCACAGTAACGCTTTTGTTCAGACAAGACATGGAGGGCACAACTATTCAAGTAGACCAAAAAGACGTGCCATTAGGACAAGAAGATATAATTCGAAAGAATTGGATACAATACTATTGGAAATCAATTGAAGCATGCTATTATCAGAATCAATTCGAGTCTATTCATGATACTAGTTTACCATGGCTAGAATACAACGTCTTTAATAATCCAATGACGATAATTTCTATCGCTGTTTTAATTATTGCCATGATTGCATTGACTGCATATCAAGTGGCTCCTACGTTAAAACTATAAAATGAACGTTTAAATTCCGCTATATTTGCCTCTTTTCTTTTTTTTTTAACCATGTCTTATTCTCCCAGAATCAACAGAGCAGTGCCACCACCACCTCCTATGCGACAAAACACAGAAAGAAGAACAATGCCTGCACCACCTCCACCTGTAAATAACAACAGCAATATGAATTCACCTCTGAATCGACTTTCTACTATTCCAGTTCAACCTTCTTATCATACTGCAGATATTGAAATACCTGAACCACCACAAACAGAGGCAGGAAAATGGACATTTCATTCCCAAAGAGAGTTTCCACCTCCTCCTTTATTTGAAAAAAGACTCAGACGTTACCCTACAGGTGCTGAAACTGGTTGTTGTAAGTAGAATGGTATATATATATATGTCCATACTTATGTTCTTTTTTTTAAAAAAAATATATATAGCTATACCCATTGACTTATCTCATCTTCAAGCCTATAGACAATCCTAAAATAAACACCTTTTTTTTTGTTCATCACTACAGATGAGGATTAATGTCTTTTTTTTTCAATGATTATATGCTCTTTTTTTCTTAAATAAAAAGAAGCCAGTCACTCGTTTCTTTTTGCTTTAACTGTGAAAAGACCACACACTTCCTTTTTCAACTAAATATATATATATATATATATATATATATACAACTAAAGACAATGGAGCACGTTCTTATGTGGGATGAGAATAAAGTAACCAAGTGGATGACAAGCATTGGTTATTCTTCTTATGAGAAGCAGTTTAAAGGTATAGGATATAAAGAGATGGTGGTATTCATCTTTGTTAGAACAAGGAATAACAGGCGATGTCCTTGTTAATCTTGACCATGAGTCTTTAAGAGACTTGTCTATAGTCACAGTAGGACAACGCATGGATTTACTCAAGAATATCTATCAACTTAAAATTCTTTATCGTGTGCCTGTCAATGAATGGGATTATATACCACCTAGTAAGTTCAGTGTTTTATATGGCATAATGATTTAATCCTTTTAGGTGTACTTTATGAGACTGTAACTCTATCTTTGAATTCTGATTTGATACTGACACTATATAAAGGAATGGTTAGGACAGAATGGTATGGCTGACTATAGAAAGATTGAAGCTGCTTTTCAGGAACGAGGTAAGCTAATAGGTATAGCAACACACTCAACAAGGAATTTAGATGCTCGCATCAAGAAATTAACAGAGGATTTGGGAAGATTAAATAATGATATGTGTGCATTAAAAGAAGAATTCAATCAAGTACTGAAAAAGGATAAAAAGGTTAGGGTTAAAGCCACTTATGTGCCTGTATATTTATATTGTTTATAGTCCAATGAGACAAGCAGCAAGACATCTACACCTACCAAATCATCTTATCATACAAAGCATACACCATCCCCTACCAAATCACATAATAATGACCATAGTCATGAAGAGGCAAGTTGAGAGAGCAATAAGGTATGTTAGACTGACATATACTTATAGAAATCACCTAACGTGATGATCAATGATGGTGGTGCAATCAAAGTATACGGGGACAAGATATCTAAAGTAGAGCATGAACCTGAATCATCTAAAAATGTGCGTTTGTTACTTGATGACACAACATCCAAAGTCATTATATCTGCACTCAAGAAATACAATGTCATGAGTGATTGGCAGCAATATGCTTTATGGATTCAATATGGCCAGCCTGATAATACGCAAGGTAAATTCAGTCAATCAAGAAAAGGTATTGACTATAGACAGAGCGTGCTTTAGGTTATGATGAAAGACCCTTAAGAATATCACAAAAACTAAAAGAAGCGAAACAAAATCCAGTATTTGTATTAAAGCATGTCAAGGACAATAAGCCATTTATTCCACCCAACTACAGTAATCCTAGACCAGCACCTAAACCACAAAAGTCAACACCTAAAAGTACAACTACAAATAATAACAATAATATTACGTCAGGAAAAGTCGGATTTGAAGTAGTCATACCCGTCATGTCTTCTTCCATGTCAACTCCCACTGCAAATACTACTACTAGTAGTAGTAGTAGTAGTACAAAAAGACAACACATTCAGCAACAACAGCAACAACAACAACAAGTATCTGCATACAATAACGAGCTAGGGTTAGATGATTCTATTGTGAGTGCTATTTTCTCTATTAATAACAGCTCATAATAATAACAAAAAAAAAAAAGTGAAACCGTATTTTGCATGAAACAGCCCAACTGACTTTAAAAGAGTTAACTTTATTTGATTTTGTCTCCTCACCTTTTTTCTTTTTTCGTTTTTTTTTTCTCATTGCACTTTCCCTTGCACTAAAAAAAAAAAAAAACAAAGTAAGTCCAAAACAATGAAGAAAAGTTCATTGATTTACTGATTCAAATGTAAAGAGATTTTTTAAAAAAATGTCTTATATTGGTGATACGAGTACGGCTGCTGGTGCTGCCAAATCCGCTGATCGTAGTAAGCGTCGCTCTTTAGCTGCCCTTCAAAAGCCTAAGCGTGTTCGCATTGGTGAAAAGGAATCTGAAGAAGCCAAGCAAGTATTGAATAAACTGTTATCTTGTACTGATGATGAGGAGCGAAAAAAACTGGCTGAAGAAGCAGCTGGTTTTGCTAATCATTATGGTGTACGTGCCATGAAAGCGTGTCATATTTTCCCTGCTATCTCTACGGAACTCTTTGCAAAGAAAATACGCTCTCCTCAAGTCTTGGGTGCTCTTGAACTCACTCAGTCTTTGGTTACGTCCAATGCTCTCTTACGTGGTCAACTTGAACCTCATTTGATCACACTCTTGACACCCCTTTTGGATCTTCAGGCTGCCAAGGATAAAGCAGTAGCTGAAATTGCTGGTCATGTGGTACGCAATCTCGTCAAGGCATTCAATCCCATCGCTACACGCTATATTATCTCTTTCTGTCTTGAAGGCTTGGAAAACTCTAAAAAATGGCAAACCAAGATTCTTTCTTTAGAGCTCTTGGAAACCTTGGCTCAAATTAACCCTATGCAAGTCTTGGTCTGTTTGCCCGATCTTATTCCTGTTGTGTCTGACTGTATGTGGGATACTAAGCCTGAAGTTAAGGCAGCTGCTACCAAGTGTATGACTACCACGACTGCTCTCTTGGATAACAGAGATATTGAACGTTTCATTCCTGCTGTCATCGAGTGTATCAACAAACCCGAAAGTGTACCAGAAACCATTCATCAGTTGGGTGCGACTACTTTTGTTCAAGAAGTAGATGCAGGTACATTGGCTCTGATGGTCCCTCTCTTGGGTCGTGGTTTACGCGAACGCCAAACACCTATCAAACGTAAATCTGCCTTGATTATTGATAACATGTGTAAGCTGGTGGATGACCCTGAGGTGGCTGCTCCTTTCTTGCCTCTGTTGCTACCTGCACTTGAACATGTGCATGAGACCGTGGCTGATCCTGAATGTCGTGGTGTGGTCAAGAAGGCCGTGGACACGCTTAAACGTATTGGTGGCGGTGGTACAACCGTCTTGACAGTCGATGAAAAGCGTGAGAAGGTAGAACACACCCTGGATAAATTAATGCCTACCAAACTCGAAGGCTTTTTCGCTCCTGTTCGCAAGTACATGGCTAAACTTGCTTTGGCTCTTGTCTTGGCCCGTGATTATGATCGTAACGCTTGGGTTTCTTCTATTTCTCCTCATGCGGCTACTTGGTTACTTGTCACAGGTCGTGAAACAGAAGACGGTGGTGAAGAATGTGAAGCTTCTGCAGAAAAACTTGCCTTGGCTGCCCTATCTTCTTGTGAAGAAGCGATTGCGCCCAAATCAGGTGAAGTAGAGGAAGAAGAAGAAGGTGAAGAGCTTTGTAACTGTGAATTCTCACTTGCTTATGGTGCCAAGATCTTATTGAACCGTACTCATTTGCGTCTCATGCGTGGCCGTCGTTATGGACTCTGTGGTGCAAATGGTTGTGGTAAATCTACTTTGATGCGTGCTATTGCCAATGAACAAGTCGAAGGTTTCCCTCCTCGATCTGTTCTCAAGACGGTTTATGTCGAGCATGATATTGATGGTTCTGAAGCTGACACAGGTCTTGTGGACTTTATTGACGCTTCTGAAGGTGTTGAGTGCCATGACAAGCAAGAAATTGCTCGCATTCTCAAGAACTATGGTTTCACAGACGAAATGGTCAACCATCAAGCTATTGGCTCCCTTTCTGGTGGCTGGAAAATGAAACTTGCACTTGCCCGTGCCATGTTGATGAATGCTGATATTCTCTTATTGGATGAACCTACTAACCATCTGGATGTTGTTAATGTTGCTTGGTTAGAAAACTACCTCTTGGGTCTCAAGACAGTGACCTCCATCATTGTCTCTCACGATTCTGGCTTCTTAGACCATGTCTGTACGGACATTATTCACTATGAAGGCAACTATAAATTGAAGCGATACAAAGGTAACCTGTCAGAGTTTGTCAAGAAAGTCCCTCGTGCTGCTGCCTATTACTCACTTGGTGCTGCTCAAACTGTCTTCCGATTCCCTGAACCTGGTTATCTTGAAGGCATCAAGACCAAGGAACGTGCTATTCTCAAGATGAAAAATGTTGATTTCCAATATCCCGGTTCTTCTAAAAAGCAATTAGTTGATATTTCTATGCAATGTTCCCTTGCTTCTCGTGTTGCTGTCATTGGTCCTAACGGTGCAGGCAAGAGTACACTGATCAAGCTTTTGACAGGTGAGCTTGAATCTGAAGTTGGTACGGTCTGGAAGCACCCTAATCTGCGTATTGCTTATGTTGCTCAACATGCTTTCCATCACATTGAAAAGCATTTGGATTCTACCCCAAACGAATACATTCAATGGCGTTATGCTACAGGTGAAGATCGTGAAGAACTTGACAAGAATGATCGTATGAACGCTGAATCCAACAAGAAAGTCATGGAGCAGACCTTTGTGATCGATGGCGAGAAGCGTGTTGTGGAAGACATTGTGGGTCGTCGTAAACTCAAACAGTCCTATGAATACGAAGTCTCTTGGGTGGGTCGTTCCTCTGTTGACAACACCTGGATCTCTCGTCAAAAGTTGGAAGACATGGGTTTTGGCAAAAAGATTGCTGAAGTGGATTCCGCTGAAGCTGCCAAGATGGGATTGAATCGTCCTTTGACAGCCAAGGAAATCGAAAAGCATCTGGAAGAAGTCGGTCTTGAACCTGAGTTTGCTTCTCATTCACATATCCGTGGTCTTTCTGGTGGTCAAAAGGTCAAGCTTGTCATTGGTGCTGCTATGTGGAACAAGCCTCACATGTTGGTGCTTGATGAACCTACCAATTATTTGGATCGTGAATCTCTCGGTGCACTTGCCACCGCTATTCGCGAGTACGGTGGTGGTGTTGTGATTGTGACTCACAACCGTGAGTTCTCTGAAGCTCTTTGTAATGAAGTATGGAAGGTAGATAATGGGTATTTGACTCCTTCAGGTCATAATTGGGTGAGTGGTCAAGGCACGACTGCTATCAAGGAAGAAGAGCAGGAAGATATGGTTGATGCTCAAGGTAACACGATTAAGGCCGCTCAAAAGAAGAAGAAGTTGACTTCAAAAGAACTTCGTAAGAAGAAGAAGGAGCGTATGGAACGTCGTAAGCGTGGTGAAGAAGTCTATACGACTGATGAAGAATTGTAAACTTGTCTATACATTGTTTTGCTTTTTTTGTTTCTTTTTATATACACACATACTTTGCGTTTATTTGTTTATAAATCATCTCTTTTCTCTATGAAATAAACGCAGCATCTCTTTCTCTCTTTTTACACACTATAATTTTTTTGTCATACTTTAAAATACGTGGCATTTTTGCAGCAAATCAATAGCAGAGGAATCAATTCATATGAATTCAGAGTGAGTGAATAACATGAGGATTGAATCCCAGTCGCAGGATGGTTTGTCTTGCAACAAGGAAAGTATAAATTTCGTCATTTCCCTTGGTTTTTTTCTTTTGCTTTTCTTTTGTTCTTTTATACTTACACAAAGATGCCTGGACTTCTTGATTATGTTGATTTCTCTCAGCAATCTTTATGGCTTGCAGTGGCACACATTTTGTTTAATCCCATCTTTTGGAACACAGTTGCAAGAGCAGGTAAAAAAAAAAAAGAAAAAAAAGATATAAGGGCAAAAGGGAGAAAAAAAAACTCATTCACCACAGAATACAGAAAGAAGGTTTTGACCAAATTGGCTGGTGGTAATCCATACAGAGGAACTTATGGACTAGCCATTACTATTTTCACTTTGGGTATCACTCGAGACTATTTGTAAGTGCTCTATGATCATTCAGCTTAACCCTTCTAAACCTATAATAATAGATACCATCAAGCATTAGCTGACCAACCTACACATCCCTTTTTCGATCAAGATATGGTCAAAATCACAGCCGCTCTCTTATTTATTACGGGTAATACGCTTGTCTTGACTTCCATGTGGGCCCTTGGTGTTACTGGAACATATCTTGGTAAGTTGGAGCAATAGAAACATATCCCTAGCTGACACAACACATACGTAGGCGATTACTTTGGTATTTTGATGAAGGAGCGTGTTACAGGTTTCCCATTCAATGTCTGTGACAACCCCATGTATATTGGCTCTACTTGTGTCTTTTTAGCTACTGCTCTTTGGTAAGTCAAACGAAATATACAGAGAAATTGGTTTGTAACAATGTTTTGGTTAATAGGTATCAAAGTGTTACTGGTGTACTCTTGACTGCTCTTGTTTATGTTGTTTACAAGATCGCTTTGACATATGAAGAGTAAGGGAAAAAAGTGTGAATGATCAGATATTCATGTTTATATAGACCTTTTACGGCCATGATTTACGCCAACAAGGATAAGAAGAATTAAGATGTGTATATATTGTAAAATAAATGTGTTTTAGTACAGTACGAGGAAGGGTATTTATAACAAGACAATATCTAATGTAAGTTGACGGATCATTGGACCTGTCATAAAGTATCCAATAGCATAAGTAACGGTTCCAAAGAATATGGAAAAAGGTAAAGCAGGCAGTGCTTGCCTTTTTAGTGTTAATATTAAAATTGTTAATGCAAGACCCTATTTGAATGATTCAATCCTTCTATTCATGTTTTTATTGGTCTACTTACAATAAGAATAGCGATGATGCATAAGCATAAAGTCACTATGTCAGTTCTTGATGCTTTCCCCACAAGAACACTGTAGAATATAAAATCACCTAGCCCGAGCTTAATAGCATTCATTTCTTCTTCTTCTTCTTCCTCGCTCTCTGATTGACTTGTTATTCTAAACATTTGTTGATGATTAGACATATCATCAAGTTCGTTGACCGAGTCAACATCTTGTTCATTATCTATAGTGCGGTAGCCTTCATTTTTACGAGAGAATGGCAGCCAAGACCAAAAAGAAGCAGAAGGTGCACGATTGGATTCTTGTGTTCGATATCCCATAACAGCCTCGCTTTCTGGTGTGTCAAAGCTGGCCATACCAGCAGAATAAATTAACGCAGGAATCTCCTCATCTCTTTCTTGAGCTATTGAGATCAATAGATTTAGAGGTCCAGCAGGACACAATACAGCAAACAAGTCTATCAGAAAGTTAAAGAAGATGATTCTGGTGTATGGATATTATACCATAAATTGCAATAGCAATCAAGACTGTCCAAGTCGTCCATGGAGGCATTCGTAGCATACTAATTGACTTGTACCATGTTAACAACTTCTCCTGCATGAGCATGATAAACATCTTACAGTTACTGCGCTGACTATAATAAGATAGGCTTGTTGTAACCAAAGGGGACTATTCCAAAAGATGGCAACGACACCTACAATTGAAAAATTCCAGGCACATGCTACCAAAGTAATGAAATCTAACGGTAGTTGATATACACTCATCATTTCACTATCGACAATAAATAAATTATGCTATAAAGCATATACTTACATCCACAAAGTTGATGCTGTAACACCCAAAACAGAAAAGACAGATAATCCTAACCAAAAGAACAACAACTGATGTGGATTTAGACGCATAAGCAACCATCAGTTTTTTTTCTACCTTGTATAATTGATACTTGAAACAAAGCACAAACATAAATGTCATAAAAGTAACACCACAAACCACTACAATCGCATTAAGAAGGCTACCACCTAACTTAGTTCCTACACTATCTGAATCCACTTCATTATAGACAATCCATGGGTTGCTGTGTAACACAATAATAAGCATAAAATACATGTATTTATGTTGTGTACCTGACAATTGAATTATCAATAGCTAGCGTGGTTTCTATCCAGCAAGTAAGGGCAAATGTGATAATCAAAGGATAAAACAAAAGAGTTAATTGCTCGACATAAAACTCGATTGTTTCTTTTCTTCGTTTTTCCTGTCGCGCTTCTTGTTGTGCTGACTATCGACCAAAGATTCATAAGAAAAATATACATAAAAAATCCATTCAAATTTACCAATGTTGTCTGTTGCTCAGAAGGACTTATTAGGGGCTCTGTGTCATGGTGTTCATGATCTTGCCCGAGATGACTAGTTGACATGAGTTGATAGATAAAACAAAACAAAAAAAGTAAAGCAAAGAAAAAAAAATATTTTTTTTATTAAAGAAATTATGATTGGGTGTCATTATTAGAGGAAGGAACACATTTGACGCCAAGGCCACTAAAGTTTTCAAATCCCTTACGTACAGGAAGAACACTGTCTTTTTCATTTGAGTGAAGAAGTGCATCTTCAGCTGCATGGTCATGGTAGATCACAGACTTGACATGAGCAGGCACAGTATGATGTTGATCATCAGAAACGGGACCTTGCATATGTTGCATTGAAGCATTGCTTAATTGCTTGTCCTTGCTGCTGTGCATATTATCCAATTGCTTTTCGATGTCAGATGCTAATTTGTCTGTGTTGCTCTTGCTAGCTGTCATTTGTTCAATAGGAGGAACTCGATTTGTGTCTTTGGGAAGTGGTTTTTCAGGCAAGACATCTTTATCTACATTGCTTTTGCTAGCTACCATTTGTTCAACAGAGGGAACTCGGCTTGTGTCGTTGGAGAGTGGCGTTTGGGGAAGTGGCTTTTCAGACAAGACATCTTTGTCTGCATTGCTCTTGCTGGCTGTCACTTGTTCAATAGGAGGAACTCGGTTTGTGTCTTTGGGGAGTGGTTTTTCAGGCAAGATATCTCTGTCTGCATTGCTCTTGCTGGCTGTGATTTGCTCAATTGGGGGAACTCGGGTTGTATCCTCAGAGAGAGCCTCGCCAGGCATAGAGTTAGTGTTGACCGTAGATGCTAGTTGTTCCACAGGGTTGATTGAAGGTACAAGGATCTTGGCGTAACCAAATTCAGAATCATCATTGGAGTCTTTGTGTTCTTCTGCAATATCAACATCGTCTGTCTTAGGAGTGGTGACAGCCATAGGAACAGGTTCCATGTCGTTTGCGCTGGATTGACGAGGAACAGAGGGAGTAATAGATTCATCATCAACAGAGCCAGGTACATCAACATCTTTCATGTGATGAGGAGTGTCCTTGGTCTCATTGTTGTGCTTGTCAGTTGGAGAAGATAAAAGACCATTCACACCACTTCGCAACTTATCCAATCCAAGAGAAAGAGTACCCAAGACACTGCTTGAGCTAGCATCACTACCGCGTTGTTGACCAGAAGGAACATCAACGTCATCGTTACTAGTAAATTCAGGTACTTCTACATCGGGAGTCCAACCACTGTGTTCTTTGTTGAAAGGAGGCAATTCAAATCGATTGCTCTTGCAAGCAGCTTTGACTTCAGAGCCAGAGGGGACAGCCGAGCCAGCTGTAGCACCACTCAATACAGCAGGGATGTGAGAGCCAGATGAGATGCTGTTGTTACGGGGTTCGTGAGAAGGCAATCCAGAGCTTTGTTTGGCAATAGGATCAATAGGTGATTCGGAAGTTGGAGTCAAATCTTCATGTGAGTTGGCAATGTCTCTGGGTTTATTGAAAGTGCTTGTGACAGGCGTACTTGTATTAGATGCAAGACCAGAGCTCAAGGAAGGAGGAGGAGAGGCCAAGCCAGATTGATCAGAGATGATACTGAATGAGTCTGCCTTTTCAAAAGAAGGCTTTTGAGGTAACTTGGGAATGGGAGCAATATCACCAGCCATGGATCTGAGGTTAGGTTGAGTGTTAGGATAAGTTTCATTGTTAGCAGTCTCTAACATAAAATCACCACCATCCATAGAGCGAGGAAGTGATGTGTCTTGATCAACCAAAGCCTTAATGTTCTTGCTATTCTCAGTTGTGTTATCTGTAGTTGGAATTTGATTGTCTTGAATATCTCTGTCAAGCTGCTTTTCCATATTTGAGAGTGCAGGAGTAGAGATGATATTGTCGTCTTCTTTAGCACGGCGACCCAATTCGTTCAATTGATCAGCAGCCTTGTTCTTGTTTTCTTTTTCTTCTTGAACGTGCTGAGCAACTTCATCTAGTTGATTGGCAGCTGTGTCTTTGTCGCTTGGGACAAGAGAGGGAAAGGTTTGAGTGATTTTGTTAGATAAGTAGTTAAGAGTGCTAGGTGCTTCTGAATTGGGCTTGGAGTCGTTTGACTTGAGTTGTTCTTGTACAGGAGCCACAATAGAATTGACAGCACCTGTCACTGTTGACTTTGCATTTTGGACACCAGAAGAAATTGTCTTGGAGACATCATTTGAAATATCAGTAGTGCTCTTTGATTCTTGTGTGTTGGAAGCATTGTTTAAGCCAATCTTTGAGAGAGTAGAGTCAAGCAAGCCTTCCTTTTTGTTGGCCGTATGAGTAGAACCAGCATTGTTTTGAGCAACAGAAGGGGAAGGAAGTACTTCTGAACCATTGGTTTCATCAGGAACAAGAGGCATAAAGTTCTTTCGATCATCTGTATCATTAGGAACATTATTCAAAGTGTTCATCACATTCGAGCGGAAAGATGCGTCATTATGACGATCGCCAATCAAAGGACTCTCCATGCCACGCTTCTCGGTTTGAAGACTAGGTGAATGCATAGGTTCCTTGTCACCTTGAGCATTAGCAACAAGGTTATCATGGTATGTGTCATCATTTAAATTGGTTGTCTTGTTGAAAGAGAAAGCGCCAGGCATGGTTTCGGGTGCAGTATCGTTTGATGATCGATCAATGGATTGAGAGGGATAATGTCTGGTTGATAAATCATTCAATACACCATGCGATTTATCATAGTGAGCGCGGTTATTGGCATCTAATACAGTTTTTTTTTAGTATATGCGAACTGGTGTGTGTTTGACTCACCTTTTAAGATAGAGGACATTGTTAATAGTAGGAAAATAATGTTGAATAAATAATAGAAAAGTCGTCTTTTTATACATTCATGCTAGCTTGTTTCAATGCCTTGCTCACAATGACGTAAATGCATAACGCTATGAAATAATCATTGTAATTTCCTATTAACAGGTTACCATTGTTATGGGTTGTGAAATTGTTTGTAGAATTACTTACATACAAGATGAAGATAGTTGCCGTCCTCTCCCCTCTTTTCTTTTTAATAAGATATATCCCCTTTATCATCACACTGATTCGTTCAAAAAAAAAGTCAAGCAAAACTATTTGAAATTCCTTTGCCAATGCAAAGAAGACCTTTAGTTATGGTTAGCGTTGAAACAAAAAGACTGGACAATCAAACAAGGTCTATAGACTAGACTTTTTTATGGCTGTTAGTTTCTAAGAGGAGGAGCTCTAAAGGTCATTTTGGAGTAATTTTGGCTTACTTCCATACTGACGAACGGAAGAATTGTTTCTTCTGATAAATTGTTATGACGAACTTTCAACACAAAATAGATTTAAGCACAATGACCGAGTCAATTATTTTACCTTTTCTCATGACTTTATTATTGTGTCAATTTTCATGCATAAAAGTGATTCTTTCATAATCTTCAAAAGTTTAAAAAACTCTTTCAAAGACTTTGTAGTAGAGATGAGTTTGTGTTGCTCAGCTAGCTAGTCCGTCTTATCCTCGCAGCTTATATTTATACATAGATACTCGACACTTGGAAATCTCTATAACTGTCTTCTTGTTCCTTATTTTATTGAATTGGCTGATGTTGACATTGAACTCTGAGCTGCCAAACATGTCAATACCTTTGATTGTGTTACGTATCGTCAATGCAGTATGATTGTAACATACAATTTCTTGCTCATCTAAAAACATTTGGGCAATACTCAACCAAACCGTCAAAACGACTCATATTATCTTTGTCTTAATCAGAAGTATTTGACACACTTTCTAGGAGAAAAAGATAAGCTGATTATGGCTTGTATAAGAAAGGTAGTTTAAAAGAACCTAATATCATAGCATTCCAAATCAGTAAGCAGCTCAAAGCTCAGCTCGGACAGAACTAATGATGCGAAATACAAAGGTCGAACAGATATTTTGTATAACGAATAGATGTAGTGAATAGAACAACATGTTTTTTTTCCTTTATTTTTTTTGTACACTGCACCCAAAGCATGACTTTGGATGCGATTTCGAAACTGATACTACAATTACTGTTTGATTTTCTTCAATTAAATTGCTCTGAAAGCAATCGGTTCAAAACGGTCAGCGGGAATAGTGAGTCCTTCAATAGTCGTATTAGGGCGATTTTCTATAGAATCAAGTGTGATGATAGGTTCCTTCTTATTAGCTTGATGACGCTTTGCTGGATCAGGATCTTCTGGTTTTGGTACACACATTTCATCAGCTTTTGTCAAAGCCAAGTTGACACGCATAGCTATTCTGTACTCAAAATCGTACTTGCTAAATTTGAGAGCAGATTCCCAAAAGACTCGACTCCGTGTTTTGTTATCCATTCCCCAGGATGTGACACCAGCTTCCCAGTAAGCAAATGGCACGATCCATTTATCTACCTGAATTTGATCTTTGTGGTCCATAATCCAGTTCAAGTGAATGACCGACTCTTTATAACGACCAAGAGCATTAAACAAAGAAGATTTGATGAGTAATAGGGCACCACGTTGGTCAAAGTATTGAGGAGCAGGTGTACCAGGCAGTAATTCTCGAGTACGAATGCCAAATTCAATCTTTTCAGCTTCAGCAATCTGGGCCAGAGCATGATCCACAATCACCAGTGATTTATTCAAATACTCTTGACTCATAAAATCCAAACCAGTAAACAAACAAAGGTATTCCAGAGCACAAAGAGACATGTCCATGTCTTGATAACCACAATCCTGGAAAGCAGTAACCTTACGCATGATATACTTTTCAACCAATGTAGCACTCTGTGTCTTGTTGCTGACTAGCTGAGGTACTTCAGCAAAAGCTAAAATAGCTTCGGTTCTTTGACCCATCATATCCAAACAAGCACCTGTCAAGTATCTGAATATAGCAGGAGACCAATATCTGTCTTTGTAAAGCATGTCGAAAATGTTGGCTGCCTCTTCCCAATTGTGCTCCATCATATGATTGAATGCAATTTCATAATTACATATATGTAGCACTTCTACTTCTGCCCATTCGTTTTTACTAATTTCAATAGCATAAGTGAATGATTGAGTTGAGAGTGTCAAGTTGCGAGCAAGACGAGAGGTGCGACCTGCAAAATAAAGGAAGAATGCTGAATTAGGGTATGTTTTTTGAGCATCTAACAGAGTCTGAAGTAAATTATTAGCTTATGTCTGTTACATTTGAGTATACATACCTCAATAGCTGGTTGTGTATATTCGCTAGACAATATCTGTGGGCATAAAGAAGTAAGCACTGTATAATAAGCCAAAAGCCTAAATATATATATATATATATATATATATATATATAAGGATGAGCCTTTTTTTTTCTTTTAAATTTATAAACGTACATGAGAGAGGCCATGGGTGATCGGATTCTTCTGTCTTCTACACATAGTTTCAATAATGCAAAACCAAGATGTTTATCTGCCTTCCAACCAAAGGCAGATACAATACGAAGTACTTTTTGTGGAAGTGTCGACAAAACAAGATGAACAGCACCAATGCTACACTCAATGAGAAATTGGCTCTAAGTACTGTCTTAACTTACCCAAACTGAATACCAGAAATAGTATCACGATCAATAAACTCGTGATATACTTGACCCATTCGTTTGTATTCTTGCCAAACTAAACTATAACTTGCATAGGCTAACCAATCACTATTTAGAATACATTTGGACTCTTTTTTTTCCCTCTCTAATTACCTCTTCTTAAATTCATGCCACACTTGACATAACCCATCACATTCTCCTGCAATAGTTGTAAAATAGCAATTTGAAGACAGCATTCGGCCTTGGCCACATGAGCACGCAAAACACCGTTTGGAACAAATGTTACACCTTTCTTCTGAATTGATTTTAATGTGGCTGGTTTTGGACTAGCAGGTAAAGCACCTGATCTGCGAGCAAATTTGATATAGTTGTAATAGTTGTTCATGGCCTGATATAAAGAGTTTCCTACCGTCTTTTTGGTAGCAGCATCAATTTGTGCAGTAGCAATACTGTATGTTGTAGTGAGCACTCCAATTGCGTTTTTTGTCATGGAGTCGTCTGTTGTCTATTTATAGTCGAAAATAGAAAATCAGCATATGTGCACTAATAAATAAATAAATAATCATACCATGATGGCTATTCACAAAGCGTTAATAAACGAAAAAAAAAATCGCAGGCTTACCTTTCAAAAAAGCCATAGAGCCTAGGCCTAAAGCATATAAAGGATCACTAGAAAAGAAAAAAGAATTAGTCTCTATATGAGTTTGATGTGCTCCGTACGTTTCAGCTTGTTTTTCAAATAGTTTCTTTGCTTTCATGAATCGATTATTAAACAAATGACGAATGGCACGCAGAATGGGTTCATCTATTTCAAGTCAATTAAAAAAACTCACTTGATTCTAAACTGCCTTACCTGCTCTTTCTTGTTGACGAGGTGAGAATGTGTTTTCCTTGATATTCTTCAAGTCAATCTTGTTTAAAGCAATTAAATTGGCACTATGAGTCTCCACGTCTCCAACATCTTCACTTGGGCGTTCTTCAAGATCAAATGTCTGTCCTTGAAGTGGAAGGCCAGGAGTAGGTGGTGATAAGTCTTGAACCATATCACTAAACGTTTGGGAACCCTTCTTATTGTCGTCTTGCTTTTCATTATTATCGAGACTCACGTTTGTCAAAGAGGTAGCAGCCGAGACATCACCTTCCTCGCTTGATTTGTCATTGCTACCAACACTACGAGTCTCCTCTTTTTCCTCTTCCTTTTTCTCTGCATCTTCGGTACTAGTATCTTGCTCCTTCAAGTCTGATTCAATTGGTTCTTCTTTTTCAGTTTCTTGAACCGTCAATTCCTCGACAATTTCTTCCTTGATAATCGCTTCTTTAACACCTTCAACTTGATCTTGTTCGATAATGACTTGCTTTTCCTCATCAAGCATTTCTTCTTGAACAATGGGTTCTTTTGTCATATTGACTGGCTCTTCATTTTTTTGTTCCTTTTTTTGGTTTTGTTGAATAGTATCTTGAAGTGCACTAATAACAAGCCCCAACTCCTTGGGTTGTTCAGTCTCTTCGTCACTTGAAGGAGAGCTGGCCTCCACCTCATCTGAACTTGCGCTTGTCCTCGCTTTTGTTTCTACCGGTGGTTGTCTTACCTCTTCAGTAACAGCGGGTTTTGAAACCTCTAAATTATCTACTTGAGATTGATGAGCAACCTCGGCACCATTTTCCTCGGTAGTGATAGGCTTAGTCATGTATAAATGATAGAAATAGATTGAAAAAAGAGAGAAAAGGGAAAGTAGATTTATTGCAGAAATAATAAAAAAAAAAAAAACTTTAAAAGTAGATTTAGTGTATAGGATTGGTTCTTGTGTTGAAAAGAAATGAATGTTGTGCAACAGTTCACAAGCATGGGTAGTACGCCGTTTACTTTGGTTTTGTCATAAAAAGACTTTAGTTCACAAGCATATATACATTTGACAATGGGTTGTTTTTGTTTAAAGTAAGAGCTTGCTATGAATGTAAAACCAATCGATTTAGAGCCATTCGTTTTTTTTATGAAATACTCAATGTGTTTTTCAGATCAAAAAATAGCAAAGTTCCTCAGCAGAGAGTCTGTATGCTATCATCGGAAATCATATAACATTGTGCAGTAACCCTCTTTTTAATACAGCTAACCAAGAAAGACAAAGTGTGTTAAATGGCACTAGAAATTTCTTTAGTATACTATGTCGAACGCACAATTCTATACACAGCCGAAACACATAAAAAAAAGGCTTCTCTCATTGATCAAAAAACCTTGATTCGTATTTGCCAGTGAGTGAACTACAATCACTCATTGCATCATGATAGAAGAAAAAAGAGAACGCATTTTATTATGTGAAATAGAAGCTAGTTACAAAAAGAAATTTAGGCACGAGCAAGACGAGCATTGCGGGCCAATTGACGAGCATTGAGCTTGACAACCTTCTTGTCGGAAGCACGGGCAACAACTTCATCCTTTTCAGTGAGAACGATTTCAATGTGAGAAGGAGAAGACATGAAGGGGTTGATTCTACCGTGAGCACGGTAAGTACGACGACGGTGCTTAGGAGCTTGGTTGACGACAATGCTGGAGATGTAGAGTTCTTCAACGTTCAAGCCCTTAGCCTATTATGTTATGTAAGTATATACCGCTAGAAACTTTATATTTACTTACTTCGGCGTTGCTTTCAGCGTTCTTCAAGAGGTCAGTGACGAACTTGACAGACTTGACGGGCCAACGACCTTGAGTAGCCTTGAATTCCTTAGCTTGAGAAGCACGACCAACACCACCGTTGAATCTACGGAAGGGGATAACTTGCTTGTGTTCAGTAACGTTGTTGAGGTAAGAGTAAGCCTTGCTCAACTTCAAACCCTTGATAGCAGCAGCGACTTCGTGGGTGTTCTTGAACTGTAGAGCATGTCAGTAAAGTGATACATGGCTTGAGTTAATAACTTACGTGAACACGGAGGTAAGAACCTCTGGACTTGGCAGCTAAAGACAAAAAATAATTTCTTTTAAACACTTGTTACTTGATGTTGTGTTTACAAACTTACCCTTAGCGGGGTTGGCTGGAGTAGCAGCGTATCTGACCATAGTTGCTCAACAGACTATAGAAGAGTGAGTATGACTGCACAGTTTGTTTGTTGGACGCATGAAGTATTGAATCAATCAAAAAGGTCGACATATGATGAAAATAACAAAAACTAAAAAGTGCATTTCATCTAAAAAAAAAGGTTCATTTCGCTCTTTCATCCATCCATCCACTTTCGATCTTTCTGCTATTAGCATTTCGTTTATTGATGCTTCTTCCTCATAGCATGATTCAACCTTCATGCATCCTATCGGTATACATACTGTCGAATAAAAGGAAGGATTGACTATAACATTGAACACCATTTGGTATATCCCCCTTCTTTCAAAACTGAGTTTGAATTCTCCCGGCCCGGAGTGGCTTGTACGTATATACACTTTTGATAGGTAGTGTAGAGAACTGCAGCCTATAAAGTCGACTCTACTATTTAACAGAGTGAATAAATATGTCTCTCAGACGTCTAATAGACCATGGAGCACAATAAATGATGAAGTTTAGAAGGTCAAGTCTAATTTGATTGGCCATAAGCTTCAAACTTCCGAGAATAAGAAATTAAATTCCGATAGCAACCCAATGCGAGAAGAATTAAAAATACTCAAACAGGCTGTAAAATAAAGTACCTCCTCTTTAATCGTATCTTATAGGTAAGACTAATGAAACTGGCAGCTTCTTGTGTCTCAAAGGATGTGATGGATGAATTGAGCAAAGAAATGATGTATTTCATAAGGATTTCTAAGCAAATTCTACAATGGATGATTTATGGATTCGAATTGGATGGATAGATCAAATGTTACGATCATGTACTTGAATTGAATCTATCGTTTCGATCCATCAATAACAAAATCATCAACTTGCTTGACTAAGCTCCTCTCATCGCTTTGAATAGAAGCTGCAGTACACTCTATACCCTATTGTAACATTGATCTAATCTATCTCTTTTTATTGTTCTCTTTTTGCAGTCATGGGTGGTAAGTTATTACAACATATAAAGTAAAAGAGCTGATCTAATTTGTCTTGATTGTAGCCTACAAGTATCTCGAAGAACTTGCCAGAAAGAAGCAATCTGACGTCTCTCGTTTCTTGCTCCGTGTCCGTTGTTGGGAATACAGACAATTGAACGTCATTCACCGTGCTTCTCGTTCTTCCCGCCCTGATAAGGCTCGTCGTTTGGGTTACAAGGCCAAGCAAGGTTTCGTTATCTACCGTATCCGCGTTCGTCGTGGTGGTCGTAAGAGACCTGTTCCCAAGGGTGCTACTTACGGTAAGCCCGTCAACGAAGGTGTTTCTCAACTCAAGTACCAACGTTCCCTCCGTTCTACTGCTGAAGAACGTGTTGGCCGTAAGTGCGCCAACTTGCGTGTCTTGAACTCCTACTGGATCAACCAAGATGCTACCTACAAGTACTACGAAGTTATCCTCGTTGACCCCTCTCACAAGGCTATCCGTCGTGATGCTCGCATCAACTGGATCGCCAACCCCGTCCACAAGCGTCGTGAAGCTCGTGGTTTGACTGCCGTTGGTAAGAAGTCCCGAGGTCACAACAAGGGTCACCGCTTTAACAACACCAAGGGTTCTGGTCGTCGTGCCACCTGGAAGCGTCGCAACACCCTTTCTCTCCGTCGTTACCGTTAAATCTCATGTTGAGGTCTTTATTGACAGTTTATTCAGGTGTTTACGACTTATGCAGGGCAACTGTCTTAATTTCAATAAAGTAACATTCAATAAAAGTCTACATATATTTATATATCTAAGTTTATTATTGTGGTTATTATTAATATGGGAGAGAGTGAGGGAGCGGGGGGAGGGGAGGCTTATTCTTTAGTATCAGGTTTGCTGAAGCCATGTTGATAATCCGTGGCAGGATGCATATATGCTTGGTTACTTGTGTTGTGCATTTGACTAGCATCGTACATGCCAGCAGCAGCAGCAGCACCAGTAGGGTTATTATAATATCCATGGTCGCTATAGGGTTGGCTGGCCATTTCATCATGGTAACCACCATCATGGTAGTTACCATCATGGTAGTTACCATCATTATAGCCACCATCATGGTAATTCGTAGCATTGTAGTAATTACCACTGTTATTGGCATAATAATCAGCATCAGATTGTTGACCATAGGCACCAGCAGCACCCATAGCTGTAGCAGGTGCATAGTAATAAGCATCGTCTGGTGCAGGAGCATGGTTATTGGTAGCTACAAAATCATCGCTGTAAGGCACAGTGCTATGAGCAGGAGGCACAAAGGCTCTGCCACCAGCGCCTGCCGTTGTTGCTGCTGCTCCTGTTTCATTGTAATTTGTTTGAGGTCCGTTATTATATTCATACATTTCATCTGTACTGCCCAACATGTTGCTATTGGGTTTCTTTGTACGTCTAAACAAGAAGAAGAACAAGGCACCTACACATAGATGTGGTTAGTGATCATATATATCGATTCTCTCTCTTTTTTTTTTTTTTTTTTTTTTTTTTACCTAGAGCTGCAACACCAACAATGGCACCAACAACACCACCGACAATAGCACCTTTATTGGAGCCTGAACCAGAACTGTCTGCACTGCTCACTACAAAAATAGAAACATAAGTATGGTATGTGAAATAGATAAAATGCATTCACCTGCAGAAGCATTTGTGGCAGATGGAATAGCAGAAGACAAAGAAGAAGAGGAAGAAGGCATATTAGGCGGTGTAGATGAAACAGACATAGAGGGAAGGATAGGTAAAGCAGAACTAATACTACTGGAAGGAAGGATAGAACTAATGGAGGGTACAGCACTGCTGAAAATAGAAGAAGATGAAGGAATGATTGAGCTTGATGAAGGAATGATTGAGCTTGATAAAGGAATGATTGAGCTTGATGAAGGGATAGGAATGCTACTACTGCTGGCAATAGGAGTGGTGGTAGTGCTAGGCACTTCTGAAGTAGTAGAAGGTTCAATAGTAGTAGTCGTGCTAGGAGCTTGAGTAGTGGTTGTGGTAGGTGCAACAGTTGTTGTTATGACAGGTGGTACTGTAGTAGTAGCAGTAGTAGTAGTCACAGGAGCTTGAGTAGTAGTGGCTGTAATAGCAGTAGTGGTTGTAATAGCAGTAGTGGGATCAACTGTAGTCGTAACAACCGCATCTGGCTTTTCGGTAGTAACAGCAGATGCTTTAGTTGTAGTAGGAGCAACAGTCGTAGTCATAGTAGTAGTGGTAATATTTTGAGCTTGATCAGATGTCGAGTCAGTGGCTGCAGTAGTTGTACTTTGCTTTTTGACGGTAGTATTGCTTGTTGGATTATCGGGTGGGTTAGTGGTTCCTTCACTTGTAGTTGCTTGAGCGGTTGCGTCGTTACCAGTTTGTTTGGAAGTAGTTGTATCATTACCCGCAGCTGCTTTCGTTGTTGTGGATTCTGATTGAGAAGCGCTACTATTAGTTGAACTAGTGGTCTTGTCGCTTGAAGATGCTGTATCGTCCGCAACAGCTCTACTGGTAAAGCCATTTGTCTTTACATAATAATAATCGGAGTTAGTCATTTTTAGACTTAAATAGCAATTATATCAAAATACCTGATTGCCAGATCGTGTGGTAGTGGTAGTGGATGCTTCCCCTTGGTCTGTATTTGTATTGGCGGATGTGTTGTCAGTTGCTCCTGATGAAGTCTGTTGGTCTGACTGTTCAGTAGTAGTGGGTTCAGGAACAGCACGCTTTTTGAAAATAGGGGTTGGCTTCAAAGGCACAAAAGTAGTAGTGGCATGAGGATCAGAAGTGGCTACTGGAATGAACTCGCCAAGATATTCTCTTGGATTTGCACTTTTATCGTCTGTTAATTGATAGACATTTAATTTGTTTGCATTTGTGCTACGGTGGAATCTTCCTTGCACTGTATAAATTGCGTTGGTGAAGTCCATGTAAAACAATAGAAGGAGAGGAAAGAAAGACTGTTAAAAAAAAAGAAGGAGGAGAAAGGAGTGGAAGAATAAACCAAGAAAAAACTTTTTTCATCCTTTTAATGACAGTGGCCATCGTGTGCGGTTTTAAAAAATAAATGAATCTCAATTGGCGGTTTCATATTTTATAGACTATAAAAAGAAAAAGCCATTCACTGAAATTAGCTTGAAACAACTGTTTCCAAGTGTTTTTTACTGGATATGGCTATAAGCCAAAATTGATATTTTTTTTTACTCTTTACTGCTTCTCAAAGAGCATCCCTTTTTGATTTTTTTAACCTTTATCCGAGATTGTATCCAAAAATAGTAGTCAAATTTGCTTTAGATGGAGTCCCTTTTTTTTATATCATGCTTTTGTGTGACACAGTCTGACATGGAATACAAATTAATGTTATTTAACACAACACAATTGCAATTGAATTCTTTTTCTCTTTTTTCTGCAACATGTTTTTTTTTCTAAGCAATGTTTGAGTCAATGGCTGTTAACTTCAATACAAGCATTATTTTTTTGCTTTTTATTTTTGCTAATGTCTTTCATGAACTGCTACTAATTTGATGACAATTTAAACTTGTAAGCATATCACTTATCAAAACACTCAATTTGGCTCCTTGTGCCTTACTTTATATATAAAATAATTTTCATCCATGCAAATCAACAAGGGATCTGATTGAGTTAAAATCATTTAAAGTTAAAGTATTCTTTATAAGCTTTGTATTGTCATTACCCTATCTTTTTTTTTTCAGTACATTACATCAACATTTTAGAAATCATGTCTAACAAAGACTTGGGCAGTTGATTTAGATTAAAACGAGCTATGATTTTTTTACCTTAGCTCAATAGTTGAACAGGAAAGGAATAGCACAGGGCATAGCAATCACAATGACGATAATATTTAACTTTTGGCTCGAAAGAGCTAGTAAGTAAAAAAAAAAATTGGGTACAATGACAGTGACTCTTGCCCCTAAATACCAAAAAGTTCTGGATATGTCAAAAAAGTATATCATGCGAGTTTTTTTTCTTTAACAAATTACAAGACCTTTCGTCAGCTGCCTTTTAGCAGAAAGTAGATTTATTACATCGCGTATAATGCCAAAAGTCTAACTTCCAAAAATAGACATCGAAAAAGGGCTCAAAAAATGCTAATTTTAAGTTTTACGTACATCCTTGAGGCAAAAAGAAAAAAGGAAAACCTCAACATGTATCGTCCTCTTGGCGTATTTGTTGTTTGTACAATTGTGTTGCACATTCAAGAAAACAGGTTCTAATATAGGCTCAGTACGCGCGAGATGCTCCGTTAATTATGGAAGCTAGAAGTGGTCTGTGTGTGTGTATATGTATCACAAGATTAATTTGTTATTGTTACCAAAGAAAACAGTGCTGTCATAACAACAAAAGGTAGATTTATAAATGATTAATGAGGCTTTAGTACTAAAAAGGCATATAATCCCATAAACGCTTTTGATTGAACAAAAGCATGCTTTGTCCTGTTTATCAGTGTTTGATAGTGCTGGTCGTCCACAACATGAAGTGATTGTTTTAACCAAGGCTCAATGCCCTCCAATGTATCTTGAAATATTTGAAGATAGGCATCTCCTATAGGGCCTCCCCAGCCCAAAGGAACTTCTCGATATTCACTCTGTATTATCTTCATTTCACTCTTCTCTGTTAGCATAATATCCAGTTTTGCTCCCAAAGAAGCGTCTAGACCGATTGATGAGCAAAACGCTTGGACTAAGTTGTATGTATTAGAGCTACATTCAGTATATAGAATAACTTACATGCTTCTGTATACGATTTAGCAATTGGGTTTGTTGTACTAATCTAAAAATACATTATTAATATCGCAAAAGAAATAGAAGAATTTGCTTACTCTCATGTCTAGATCAATACACTGGAAAAGACCACCATCTTTTAAGACACGTTTGATTTCAGAGAAGACAAAAGACCATTCATTTGGCTTGAAGGCAAGCACAATAAACCTAAGCGAGGTTAGATAATCAAATGTATTGATGCATAAATCGCAATTTTTTTTCTTACCGCATTTGAATGAAATCTGTTTAACACAAGAATGAGTCTAAAGATAAATAGACAATTAAACCTTACCAAAACTTTTATCAGGATAAGGAATACCTTGTAACACATTCGCTTCTGTAAAATTAAGATTGACGGGTCTAATTATTTGTGGCCATAAACTGCACATATCAATACCGGCGAATTGACAATTTGGGTATTCGAGACTTGTTTCGCATAACCACGTAGCAGGGCCACAACAAACATCCAGCACATTTAATTGATTGTTTTGGAAGTCGAGTAGCTTCAATGCATCCTTCATGATATTACTAATGAATAATTAGCTTTGCTCATAGAATATAACGTACAATCCGAGCAGCTCTTTTGTCACAAAATGCTCTTGATGGAGTCGATCAATTTCTTTGTCATCTTTAGGTAACATATATGAGCTAGATTCAACATCATGATAAACACGCCCTGCAATAATACGTTCTTTAGGTTGATTTGCTTTGCTTAATATTGATTTTTCTTCGTGTGTGAGTGAATTATTTCGTCTTGACAGTGCTTTCTTTTTTATTGTGTGTATTTGATTTGAGTGCATGTATTGACGGCGACAGGATTTATGCTGAAATCCATCATTGTCTTTTGATATATAAACACCCATTGTATATTTAGTTATGAAGAAGAAAGAAAAAGAAGAAAAAAAAATAATCATCCACTTTTTTGTTGTTGCTTCGTACTACTGCTCTTACAAATAACAAACTCCTAAAAGTCAAAGTATGACCGGAACAGCTTGACTTTCTCACTTGCCCCTCTTTTGGATTCTTTCCTTTATTCTCTCTCACTCCTTTTTTTTATATCTCCTTTGACATAGCATGATTATTTTTTTCTTTCATTGTGACAAATTCAACTTAACTTGCTTATAAACTATATCACATCATATGATTCTTTTATCCTTATTTTGCTTTTTATGCATATAGGAAAAGAGGGGGGGGGGAGGAAGGGAAGAGTAATACACAGCTAGTTTTTTTAAAAGGGAGTCTATACTATACAAATTTTCTTTGCTGAAAAATAAAACAATAAAAAACCATAATAAATACAACATTACTTTTTTATATATCATGTATACAATTTACTTTTCCAGATGCAATCTCTATCTGGGATTCCAAGGTTTTTTGTGGCTCTATATAAAGCATATGCAGCATAGCCTTGTAAAGCACTATAGCGCAGTACATCTATCTTTATGCGATGATTGTCCCACACAGTACCTGAGAACTTTTTTGAATAAAGAGCATTGTCGTAATCCTTCTTGGCTTCAAAGAATAGTTCTAAATCCTTCCAGTCTTTCAAGTAGTGTTCAACAGCTTCTGCAAAATTATATAGGTTACGATCTTCATCTGAATTCGCCTTATAGACCAAATCAAGACAAGGACCCATTACATAGCCTAGTTTTTGATACATTTGTTTCTCAATAAATTCAGGGTACCAAGCCAGTCGATAAATAAAAGGATCTGTCAATAGCTTTCCAAAGTTTGTGTCTCTTGAAGCCCCATGCTGGAAACATGCTTTTTCCAATAACACTGTATAAGATTCGCCAGTAGATTCGTTTTCAGGCTTGATAAACAATTGTAAAGCCTTCAAGACAAGAACGCCTGATTTGATCTCAGCAAGATGAAAGCAAACAGCAACAATAAAAGGGACAGTTGGGATCCTGATTGAGTTGAGGTGACTAGCTTCCATGACACTGTGAACCATAACATCCTCAATATCGTAATCGCCACTGACATACACACCATCCATGTAAGTAGGTGAATCTTCTAGTCTTTGCTCGCTAACAGCTTTTGGCTTGGCTGTTGTAAAGTTCTTTATCTTCAGTCCAACCATAGACATATCGTCATCATCTTCATCATCGTCTGAATACTTTGCTTGAGATTTACTGCCACTGCTCTTATTCTTACTATCGTGGTTATCGTCACTGCCATCATCATCATCGTCGTCGTCGTCGTCGTCGTCGTCATCGCTAATAAAACTGTCAGGGTTGAGCACACGAGGGCCTGTAAACGTTTTACGAATAGGAATTTGATTTATGCGCATCTCCATTGTATCAGGTACTACTTCTTGTGCAGTCCAATTGTCCACTACTTCAGTCTGGTTTGGGTGCATTTTACCAGTATCACTATTACCCACAGAACCACTCATCATATGAGAGCCATGCGAGGCTACTGTGGTATCAAGTCTTTTCGAGGCACCTTGGGGAGCAACCTTGGGCGCTTTTTCAATCTCGTCTAAATCAGTATCAATGCCCTTTTCCCATTTGTCGTTTGAAGATGTTGCAAAAGACGACCAAGATGCAGCACTCATTTCTTTACTGTTTGAATCATCAAACCAGGTAAATGATGCAGTTTGGCTGCTGTTGCTGTAACTTCGCATGCTTCTATCAGGCCCTTTTTCAGGTTTACAGGCAAAAGCGGATAAGCCTTTTGTATTTTGTGAAGAAATCATGGGTGATGAGCGAGTCGAGGTATTACTGTTGCAACGATTAGTGTCAAAGGTAGGTTTATTTTTTCGGTTATCATTGTTGGTATGTGTCGCATGCTTTTGGTAAGGAGAAGATGGTGTTGTGTGTTTTTGGTGAGGTGAGGATGGTGTTGGTTGCGTTGAAGATGGACGGCTAAAACTAGGTGAAGATCGCCATGAATTAGTGGGTGTTTCTTGGGTCCATGTTAGCTGTTGCTGTTGCTGCTGCTGCTGCTGCTGCTGCTGTTGTTGTTGTTGTTGTTGTTTTGGTAATACTTCTGATACTGTTGGTGATGCTTCTTTTGGTATTTGCTGCGTTTCTGAATATAAAATTTCTTCAGGCTTTTTCCACTTTGATCCAGCGCTTGAGCGCCATGCATATCTTTCCGTACTAGCTTCCCAAGATGATACAGCCTTCCATTTTGAATTCCTAGTGCCTATTTTATCACTGCTGTTTGTTTTCTCTAGAGTGCCCCATTGTGCTCGCTTATCAACTGAAGGATTACGCCAGTTAACTGATGCTTCTTTAGCATCCCATGGTGTTGCATCTTTTATATCACATGGTGGTATATCTTTTGTATCCCATGATTCTTTATCTTTTTTATCCCAGGATGCATTGGTGTTCCAAGAACTATGGACTTTAGCGTGAGATTGCCATAATGGGTTGGCTATCTCTTTTTCTGATTGCGCTGACATTTCTTCAGTAGTTTCCAATGTTAAGCTTTGTTTGTTTGTTGTTGGTTCTTTTGATCTACTAAGTCTCTCTGTTGATTCTGCGTTAAGATTCCTCATAGACTCTTGCTTCAGTTTTTCATTACCTCTTTTTGGCTCTTCATGTTCTTCTTTTGTATCATGCACTATAGATTCGTTTCTATCTGACAGATCATTAAATTCAGCTCCAAGAATATTAGATTTGACATTGTCAGACAAGTCGCAAACAACTCGATCTCTTTTTTCTCCTTCTACTGCTGTTTCTTCTCTGTTGCTGCCGCTTGTTTTGCCGTTGTCAATGCGACTTGATTGCCCGTTTTTAGTTATCTCATGTAAAGAAAGAGCAATTGCTTTCTGAACGTCTAATGAGAAACGAGGGTCATTGTCATCATATCCATCGTCTGTCTCTGGTTGAGGAGACACTGGCACAGGAAGGTTTATCATAGCTTTTTTATCTTTACGGCGATGTGTTGTTCTTGTTTCGTTTCTTGGTGAAGCAGGAGTAGGTGAATAACTCACTGCCTTATGGCGTTGATTTTGCCATCGATAAAGAGCTTTGACTGAAAGCGTACTCTCAAGTGATCTTGGCCAAAAGTGTTTTGGCTCTGAAGCGTATGATTCAGTCGATTCGTTAAGAGCAAATACACTCAAAACATCAAAGACAGAATAGACCAAGGCTTTTGGGGGTAAAGGGTTCAACAACCAGACACAGTCTTTATCTAAGAACCGAAATGAGTCAGAAAACTGCTTTATCTTTTGGAATTCATCAATGCCCTCCCATTCAGAAGCATATTTAGTCATGGCAGCATGAAGACTAAGTTCTTCAACAGCAATAGCACGCAATTTGACTTGTAAATCCAAAAAATAAGCTGGATCAATCGTTTTAAAGAATTGTTCAATGGCAAGCATATCAGAGCGCAGAGACCAGCCAACCCAGTGAATATTATTGTCTTCCAAGACAGGTCTTAACTTTTCATTCAATATATCAAAGCCTAGAATATCCACCTGTACAGCATAGCCTAGGGTGTCTGAGACAGCAATTTGAAGTAACTTCAATTCAGGCAGGTTCTTTTTTGTGCCCAAAAATTCACAATCAATAGCTACATATTTTGTTCTTTTGATTTGCTCCAAAAGCTCATTAATGCCTTCAAGCGTATTGACTGCGACACAGGTAGCGACGCGTCCGTTATGTAAAGGAACCTGAATAGTCCAGTTGTCTACTTGGGTCCAGTTGGACTCCATCTCATAACTGGCTTTGGGCTGTCGTGACGGTGAGTGATATTCCCCGGAATAATGGCTTGTATAGGAGGGCTTTCGCGAAAGATAAGAAGGTCCTTTGTGAACAAATTCTCGTAAAGGAGGAAGCAGATTTTTAACAAGGACCATGTCTTGCTGGTTTTCATAAGGACCTAGAAGGCAAAGAAGTAGGTCTGCTGACTTGACTACATTGCCCCAATACTGAGCGTTCTGAGCAAGACCTTTTTCTTCCATTATTTCTCTTTATTTACAGAAAAAAAGAAAGACAAAGAAAGGAAAGACATGATGAATACGCAGGATTTAAGAGTCCGTTGTTGCTGCTGATACATCGACACACAGGCTGCATAAAAAAAATCTTTAGAACCATCATTCTGGCTTATGATAGTTTAATGCATTACTAACCACTTCTCCTATTTAGTATCTCATATAACAAGAGAAGATAGTACTATTCCTGAATACAATAGAGTATACACACAAACACACTTAATAAACACTTCTGTACTCTATCAAAATCAGTGAGAAAAAAAAAGTAGCTAGATTAGCATCGTGACTTTTAAATTTTGAATATACTCGCGTTTAGAAAAACTCTTTCTCTTTCTTTCTTTTTCAATATAGAGAAATATGAAGAAAAAGTACAAGACGAAATTCCCTGTTGTTAGTGTCAAGTCATTTGATATGAAGCAAAAAAAAAAAAAAAAAGCTTACAATAAAACATAGGCACGTATAAAGAAAATTATGCAACTAGATGAGGACGTTGGGAAAGTAGCTCAAGCAACACCTATTTTAATATGTAAGATAATGTAATAAAAAAGAGACAAGATATATAATATCGGATTTTTTGAATATTAACATTATTTCTTCTTTAGCTAAGGCATTGGAGCTGTTTATGCAGTCCTTAATAGACCAGGCTTGTCAAGAGTCTCGTGAAAGAAGTGCAAAGCGTTTGACTGTAGCTCATTTGTGAGTATTCAACAGAAAGAGGAAATTTGGCTCATGTATACTACTTTCTAGGAAAAAAACAATCGAGACAGTAGACAAATTTGATTTTCTTAAAGATATTGTTTCGTCTATCCCAGATCCATTGGAATCCCAACAACAATCGTCAGATAATGCAAATAAACCAACTCGCTCCAATAGAAAATCAAAAGCTGCTGTCAAAGAAGAATAGTTATTCTAATAAAAAGCTTCATTGTATATATAAACATAATTGCTTTGACTTGGGGTGGCAAGGAGATTTTTTTTTTGTGAATTGACTTTTTCGTTGGATCGACTTATTTAAGCTAGTTTTTCGTTCTCGAGAATAACATTACACACAGATACTAAAGGAGTTGTCTAATTGCGATAGAAATAATCTAAGCAGTATATCATAGATAAATTATCCTACTTCTTTTCATGATAAATATTGGTATGTTTACTTTATTTTTCTTTTGAAGAAAAAAAATAAACGAGAGTTTTAAGTACCTTTTTTACTTAAAGAGGATCAGCATTTCTATAAAAATTAGATAATTCTACACTAAATACAGTGCACAACGATCTTGGAAGAGAATACGCCCATTGCATTCATAAAAAAAACTTGTATTTATCTATTCAAAGCATGACACGCAGTATATATACAAAACGATGTACTATCTATAGTCTAAAATACTTGTTAGTACTCTTTATATGAATATGTGGATTCATTGTTATAAGACGGCGTAGTAAGCTATAATGTCAAATTTCATGTGGATCATGCAAGATCCGATAAATTAAGATGTGTAGCAAATTTTATTGAAAGTCCGCTTTTTTTTTTGGTATAAAATATCGGTAACCATCTTATCTTGTTTCTTCTTACTAATCATTCTTAAATTACCTTATGCCTACATTGATGAACGAAGAAACTACTCCCCTTATCAATCGTTTCTCAAGTTCTCAAGAGAAAAAGGATGCTTATTCAAAATGGAGCATTACAACAGGTCTTATCTTGTTTGTCTCACTAATTTTGTCTGTACTAGTCCGTATACCGTTCAATATTTTTACATTCCATCCAGTATTCATGACCATCTTTATTGTTCTTGCAACTGAAGGAATCACGCTTTTGCAGCCTACAAGTACCGCCGAGGAAAAGAAATCTGGATTAAAGTACCACGCTATCATTCAATCTGCAAGTTATCTTTCTGCTATTACTGGGTTTTCTTTTATCTTTTACAACAAGGTTATATCAGGAAAACATCATTTCGAATCGTAAGTTTGTCGATTTCATATAATGGCTCTTTGTTTCTGTGTATTGAAAGCATTTGTTCTCTATAGTTTTCATGGCAAGTTGGGGTTGTTTGTTTTCATTTTTTTGGCCATTCAGCTTATATTTGGCATCGCAATGGCTTTCTTACCTCGTCACGCCTTTGGTTCAGTTGAGCGTGGTAAAAGTTTATGGAAATATCATCGTGTCTCGGGTTACATTTTGTTGGTCTTGGTCTGGCTTACTTCTCAATTAGGTGTAAGGGCTGACTACATGTACAATAATCTGTATAGTGTTCATTTGCTTTGGCTGCACTGGGTGGCTGTATTCCTTGTATTTGCAGGCATTGCTAATCGCATCCGCTTAAAGAAGTGGGGAATTAAACAATAAATATACGTGATGGCGTTATTTGCTTGTATATATATATGTGTGTGTGTGTAACAGTAGCAAGCTCTACCTGTTTTTTCTTTTCTTTAGGACCGAGATCAGTGGCAACATTCGAAAAATGCTTGAAACAGAGAGAAAAAATCAGCGCCAAGTGCTGCTGTACTAAATGTACCAGACTGATTGCTTTTATTGGATAGGCCTTTTTTTTAGACAGCTTTTCATCTGTGATGATATACTTCCTTCCTACTTTTACTCTCATCATATTCATTTACTTGAGTGAGTAAACGACGTATATAGGAAATACTCACTATGATTGCATCATTCCTATTCCTGGAAATTTCTGTGCTGTGTACCTGGGTTGATTTGATTCGGTGCTGTAATTACAATTCTAGCGAATATGTTGCGAGAAAAAAAAAAGGACCTGTGGACTTCTTCCTTTTTTCAAGAACCATGTACAGTGTGTTTTATCTTGTATTTCTCTTTTGGAAAGTATTTTTTATATCCCTCAAGACTTTCTTCAGCTATCACAAGGTCTCAAAAAGAGAAAGAAGAACCACCATTACACTAGCTTGGAAGGACAAAAAACTACAGCTCAACTTTAAAGAGTTCTCAAAAGGGTTTGATGAGGCAACAGTTAGAGATCTCAAAGAAAAAGTGAAGTTATTGACAGACGTACCTATTGCTTCTATGAAGCTTCAAGTCTCTGGGGGTAAATCTTTGATCAAATAAGAACAATGTTTCTCATCCATATATGAATATGAATAGCCAACATGAAAGATGATACAGCTACCTTGTCAAGCCTTGGTGTTCATAAGGGATCAATCGTTACTTTAAATGGAGAGGTTGTTGATGTAAGATACAGCAAAGGTTGTCATGGTTACGGTGCCTGATTTTCTCTTTCTGTTTTAGGAAACGGTTGTCAAGCAAACTGCTTCTGGTAATCCAGAAGAATATGCATTAATGCTTCGAATTGCCAATATAGTTGAATCAATTGAAAACAACACACTAAAGAAATTAGAAGAATTTGATGCTTCGATAAAAAAGAATCAACAGAAAAAGAAGTTGAGTGAAACGGAGAAAAAGAAACTACAGGATCAAGGCATCTATTTGTCAGAAAAAATTATGCAAGGCTTGATCAGTTTGGACAGTGTCGAATGCCCTATGAGTTTCGATACTGCTAGACAACGTAGAAGAGAAGGTGTTCGTTTAGCACAGAAATTATTAGAGCGCGTTGACAACTCAAGAGCTATTGTTAGAGAGATTTGTAAAAACAAATAAACCAACTTTTTTTTTTTTTTTTTTTTATTTTTTAAGCCTAGGCTATCTTTTTATGCTACTGCGCTTTCTTTTCAAAAGGAAGATACTTGTTTTTCATCAAAGCCGCTTCAAGTCAACTGCAATCACGTTTGAGATGCTAAGACCTTATCAACAAGAATGTGTTGAGACAACCTTGCTTGAGTTTAAGAAAGGCTGTCAAAGACAGATCGTTTCTTTACCAGTTGGTAAGTGATGTATAGATCACTAGAACAAATGTTTCTTACTTGTGTATAGGAAGCGGAAAGACGGTATGCGTAAAGCATACTGAGAAAAAACTATTGATTTTTATTCTATAGGTTATTATGTCAAACTTGATTCCATTGATACCCTCCCCTACACCAAAAGCAACCAAAGTTTTACTGTTAGCACACCGAACAGAACTCCTGGACCAAGCTCATAATCAAATTACTAAATACAATCCCAACTTGGTAAGATGGACAAGCCAAGATATAGTATTTTTCCTAAACTGTGGTATAGAATGTTCAAATAGAACAAGGCAAGCGCAAAGTGGATATTGATAAAGCAGATGTCATAGTTGCTTCTGTGCCTACTATCGGAAGAGCCAGCTCCTCGAGGATTGAAGCCTATGACCCCTCTATCTTTAAAGCTATTTTGATCGACGAAGCACATCATGCAGTCGCCGATACATATGGTCGTATTCTTGATTATTTCGGCATATTTAAAAGCGATAATCAGAAGCTTTTGTGGGGATGCTCAGCAACTGTTAAACGTCACGATGGCCAAGCATTAAACACTGTATTTGATAAAATCACTTATCATGTAGGTTTTTTGCAGATGATTGAACAACGCTATTTAAGCTCTATGCGTGTTACTACTGTCAAGACAAATGTCAAGCTGGATGATGTGCGTTATACAAAAGTAGATTTTGTTGAAAAAGAGCTCGCATCAGTCATTAATACAGACGCCCGTAATGAAGTTATTGTCTCAAGTTGGCAGAAATATGCGCATGAACAAGGCCGAAAGTCAACACTGGTGTTTGCGCTGAATATCGAGCATACAATCAAGCTTTGCAACAAGTTTATAGATGCAGGTATCAATGCAAGATTTATTACCAGCAAATCAAATCCCATTGAACGTCTTGAAGTTCTTGATGCGTTTAGAGCAGGGGAGATTCCTGTATTAGTCAACTGTGGTAAGGTGTATCTATCGCATTGTAGATGTATCTAAGTTTAGAGAAACATAGCTATCCTGACAGAAGGCACAGATATTCCCTGTGTTGATTGTATTTTAATGGCAAGGCCTACTCGATCTGCTACTTTATTTCAACAGATGTTTGGTCGTGGATTAAGATTACATGGTGAAAAAGAAGATTGTTTGGTCATTGATTTTGTGGATAATTTCAAAACCACTGGTCAACATGGCTTAGTCACCGTACCTACATTACTTGGTCTTGATACTACAGAAATTGTACAAGGTAAAAGTGAATTGAACTGCCTATCCGTGTTCTGATTTTTGAACAGATAAGACCGTTTTGGAATTAGAAGAAAAGGCTGAAAGCGAAAGGATGGAAAAGACTGGTAAGTGCTCAAACTATCTTTAAAGGCATGCTAATTCAATTCTACAGAAGAAGAGGATTATGATCCTGATTGTGTTCAAGTCAAAGTGACTGAATATGAAGACTTAAAGGAACTCATGATTGATTTATCTACCACAAATGAAATCAAAAGTGCATCCAACTACAACTGGATCAATATTGGCAAAGATAAATGTGTTCTCAATATACTCAACACTGGTTTCATGGTATTGGAGAAATTGAATGGTAAATGGATAGGCACTTTTAGACGCGAAAACATAAAGAGTGATTTTTTTCCCAAGCCAACCAGGATTCCTTTGGAGGCAAGCGACTTACCATCTGCTATTCGAGGTTCCGAAACATGGCTACAGAAGTCCATGACCATTAATCGTGGTAGTATGTTACGAACAGCTAGTTTCCGGAAAGACAAGATGACTGAAGCACAAGAGAAGGCTCTGTCCCGTTATAAAATTGAAGTGTCATCCAAAATGACAAAAGGACAAGCTATGGATTTGTTAACTAAACTCAGATATGGACAGCTAAATATCTGGAAGTTAGAATGGAAACTGAACGAAAAAAAGAAATTGCTGGAGAAAAAGAAGATGGATGCAGCTGCATTGTTGCGAGAAAATAAACCAAAATTTAGTGTCGTGCGTTAGACAAGCGTCTTTATTTACATATCTACAATTTCTTCTTATATACAAATAGATTCAGATGATTAGCTTAAGAATATACATGAATAAATGAGCTCGCTGTATCCATAGAGGGTATTCGTGTCGTAACTTCCATTTCGATTGCAAAAGACGACTGCGACGGGTCCAAAAGTTTTCGTGGCGTTGAGGAAGTAGTAATAACAAGGTAGAAAAAAACATGGTTCGATACTTGACAGTTGTGGATGTTATGGCTTTGGGTTTGTTTGTTTGTTGTGTTATTGGCTGTGGAACTGCAATAAGTTCTCCTACAACGTATTTAAATAGCGACGTTAGGGATGTAGCACTCTGAAGCATTTTTGTATTTTTAGGAGGTAATGGTATGATTTTCACATCAACATTTTCTTGGATAACGATATCTTGCTTTTCTTGAGCTGTGTTATATTTACGCTGATGGTGATATACATGGTGAACATGATGATGCATAATATGACTAGTATCAGGATCGCTGTGCTGTATCGTTTCTGTCAATTGCCTCATAGCAATCGCTAGTCTCCACTGACTATATAAGAATCGCTTCTTTTGTTTCAACTGCAGATCAATTTCTATAGGGTCAACAGAATTGTCTTCTGACTGCAAAGAGGGACAGGAACGACTTTTCTTTAGTAAAAAATCGGAATTGTGATATAAAGAAACACGTGCGTCTAAGCTATGCTTTGCCTCCTCAATCAATTTCTCCAAAGACTCATTCATGCGGTTCAGACTGTCACTTGCATTTTTCTGATAATCCTCTTCCAACTCTGTATCGAATGATATTGTTGTATCACTATTATTAAAAACAGGGTTTAACAAGTGAATAAATTGAGCGGAGTGGTAGCAAAAAAAAAAAAAAAAAAATTTACATTGGGGCGGATGCCAAACTTTCTTCAAGTTTTTGTAAAAGGTACTGATTTTGCAGTTCGAGTCTATTATACAGTTCAGTTATTTTGAGCAGGTAAAAGTGATATAAAGGGCAATTACCTCTGGTGACAATGACGATACGATAGTATCATTAGTTCTGTATCTTGCATGGATTTTCTCATAGAGTGTAATAAAACATCCAACTCCTCAGCCTAAAGAAAATACATGTTTATATTGAGAACATAGCCAAATTATTCTTACCTTGGTAAAGTGCTGTTTCTGCTGTTTCTGCTCTTGATAATACTTCTCAGCAAGGACAGCTGAGTAGGATGGTGGTGAAGAATTATGCTCTTCCAGCAATTGTAGAATATTGGGCTTTGTTGGATATTCCATCAAATTGTATTGATATCGTTTATCAGATGCTACAGACCCATAAGACATACAGATATGTTTCAGGGTACAGCTTTTAAAAGAAGAAAAATAAAAGAAAAAGGAAAGAGAGAGAGAGAGAGAGAGAGAGAGAGGGAAAAGGTTGAGCTTAATTAGAAATTAAAATTTGATGTGTTTTTTGTAGTATGACTGTGTTACTTGACAGAGTCTGTGTAAAATAACCTGAGCACATTTATAAAAAAAAACATAAAAACAAATATCAGTGAGCTCCATCATTTGTTTTGTATTTGTTTGGATTGAGAATAGTCGCTTTTTGGAATCCAGATGTATTAAGCCTTGAAATCTTGGGATTTTGTTCGGATTGGATTTTGAGATAGAATTTAACTAGTTTGTTATATTTTGTTGATAATATAGCAAAAGCTTTATTCATATAAGTATATGATATAACTGATAATGTAATATTGAGTTATCTTACTTTTTCTAATTCTCGAGTAATGCTTGAGACAAAATCCGAAGAAAAAAATAAAGTGATAGGATAGATGATAATTATATAAAAAAATTGAAGGATATGTGTAACAGGTACACAACAAAAAAAAAGAAAAGGGAAGACAGAGACAACTCAAAGGTATACTAAGTACACACTATTTCGCAACCTTTCAGCCTGTTGTTCCTTATTCAGGAACGGCTACGTCTTCTCAGCAACAAATCTCCGGTTTGTCTGATTTAGGTAGTATGCACTTTACGGAATAATTTTTATTGATTTTAAAGTAATAAACAAAATTCGTTCGCAAAGAAGTAGAGGAAAATGGGGAATAGAATGCATCTGATTTATAGCTGACAATGCTGTTTGATACACAGTCTATCTTGACTCTGTGCAAAACTCTACAAATACATATCAACTAAATGAAATTAGAAGTATGCCAGACTCCTAATAGATAACTTACCACAGATATATTGATTTAAGCAATACAATTGATTCTTTTTTTTTTTTTTTTTTTTTGTAAAAAGTCTAGCTATTCGATTTTGAAAACCTAAAGAAGAACTTTATTTCAATGGAATCAAAAGCATTATTCTGTTACTAAGGGCATGTATTCTTTGTTAACAAAAAGAAGACTTAATATTATGCATGAGAAGGTTTGTTATTCTTGGTATCGTCTTTATTCCCGATGCATTTTTTGAAATTTAGGCAAGTAGAAAAAGAACTGGGTGCTGCTTCAAAAACAAAAGGAGGACGATGTTGATTTTGTTCAATCAACTCAGAGCGAACTTTATAACAAAAGTTGATATGGAGCCTTGATTTTTGTTTTTTAGAAATTGTATGCATCTTTCATCAAAGACTTGTCAATATTTTTTGTAGCTGTTCTCTTTCATCAAGTAGTTCACTGTCACAAAAATCAAATTAACTCGATTAAAATTCGATACATCAAACTCACCAGGCTCACTAGCTCAATAGATTAAGTGTGTTTTAATAAAACATCTTATCTGAATAAATAGTTTGGGTAATGACGTTACTCATCCGTGTAACTGAGATACCAGGCAAATAGATGCTTCGACAATCCATACAAAACTTTATGGTTTTTTCTAGGCATATATAGGGAGCATAAAGTCTACTTGTATCTGCATAAATGCTCCAAATACCTATAAACCATGTTTACTAACATCCATGATACCTTTGGAGTTGATTTGAATAGAAAAAAAGTGACTTGGAAAAAATTAGCTATTACTCTTGAAAATTGCTCGTTTGACAACTTTTGTTCTTCTTTTTGATGCTATAGGACGAAAAATAGAGCTATCTACACGCTTGAATACTCAAAATGCGCGTCAGAGTCTTTAGTCTTTGACTAATGTGTTTGCGTAACAGTTGTACTATGCTAGGAGTGAAAAACTTTGTGAACATTTTTGCCTATTTGCTCAATATTTTAGCAGCAATATTGCTATGTTTCTTATATTAATAAACTTAAAAAGCAAAGATCTACAGATTTTACCACTACACCAAAGCCAAATGACAGCGCCTTTATGCAGTTCACAGCAAAAGCCCAATTTTTGATGTGGCGGGATAAAGAATTGGAGTTGTCTTCCATTTTAATCTTCGCACACTGCCATCCGGTATGTTCTATATCCATTTGCCCCCACATTTACAGTATAGAATGTCTATGTTTCTACTTTTATATATTCTTTGGTACTCAAAATAACATAATATGCTTTAGAGAAATTGATTTCTCGCGGCTTCTATGTGATATGTAGTGTAAAAATTCCCAAAACACAGCTTAAATGTACTATTCTTTGATGCATCATTACTTGACAACCAGACTATCAAAACAGCCCATTTTTTCATTTAAAACATGTTCTTTTGAGTCCAGCAATTGAATGGTACCATTGGCTTAGCTGTTTTGTGAGATTCATTTTTTTGACCCTTGGGTATTCACGGAGGTTCGTGAAGATAAAAAAAAAAAAGTTGATGGAAATTTTTGGAATGACCCAATGTAGATCTGATCCAACCAATGTGAGGTTAGATCATGACTAGATACTTCTGGTAGAAAGAGAACAAGTTTACTAAGATGAAAAGGTTGACTAGATTTGAGCATTGCCTTCGAATCTTCGATCAAAGCTTGTTGTACACTGTAATCAGTACAAAAGAGGCTCTTTTAAGTAGGTATTGACTAATAAGTGGGCACTTATTTCTATATCACTCGTTACGTAAAACATGTGCGAGTAAGACCTAGCATAATACATGCTATTTTTGAGGCCAAATAGAGTAGCTTTGGATATGATAAACAATAAATGTAAACGTCGATTTTCTTTTCACTTTACGTGTTAGGTGTACTCTCTGCTTTGATGGGCATTTCTTTTCGCTTCACCAATAGTTATAAACCCCAATCACGTTTTGATCAAGTTGAAGTAAAGAAAAAACAACAACCAGACAGCAGATATACGAAAGCAAAACGTGATATGATAGTGTATTTTAGACAGCATCACCATAGTTTGGCAAGTATAATGTACTCTGATCAACCCATGTTGAAAATAAACGGCAGTAATAAATCAATACACTTGAGTAAAAAAAATCTGTTATACAAGTGAATTACACGCAAAGACAATAAACCCTATCATTTCTACAACAAGGAGTACAGACCATTAGTCTTCAGACTCTGTGTGTAATCTTGAAGGTGTTTTGGAAACTGATATCACATTTTCCGAGTAAGCAACATAAATTCCAGTACGGAGAGATGCAGCAGGAATTGAATTGCTTTCAGGAAAGTATCCTCGAATTGTAATAGCAAAAAGATTAATAAAGTATAAGTCTACCTTGTGTTTGATCCGAAAATCGAAGTAATGGTCTGGAATGAAAGTATGTGTAATGCCTTGATGTTTACTTGTATAATAAGACTACAATACTTCTTCCTCCAAAACTATTGTGTTGAGATATCTTTTATGAATCTCTAGATTGACAGAAGAGACCTTGCTTCGTCGGATTGGACAGAAGCAGGTTTAGTCTTTTTCTTTAGAATCCTGGAATGTTTTGCAAGCTTTGAACGATTCATGTTTCTGTATGTCATTGCTTGTTTATTTTGTAAAGTAATGATTTCTTTCATACGATAAAGCAAACATCTTCTTCCAGGATTTATTACGACACATCAGTCTTTTGTCTTTTTCAACTCTCCATGAGCCGAATTCTTTATATACTTTGTTTGATTATGAGACTCTTCGACACCAACCTTAGGAAGTACCTTTTTTCTGTTTGTATCAGTGTTTTTGTTTGATGATAGATATGCCAGCACTGTCAGTCTCAAAGGCTTCTGGAAAGCGCAGCGACTTGCCTATTCCTTGATGCTTGAAAGCTCTATTGTTCAAATCCACAACAACACCCCAAGTTCGAAGCTTATTGCTCATTTGAGGATTTACCTTGGACCTTAAGATGTGATAGCAAATAGCTTTGATATACAATGTCATACTGCAAGGATTAAACGCAGCTTATAGAGGAAAGCAATTGAATTGGGGCAGCTTTTCAGACCCGAACAGTTCGGCTATCTTCATGAAGGCCTTGTAATGGTTTGCAGGGTAAGGTCTGACATCATAGTAAATCGGCTTCCTTTGAAAAGTACATTCTGCTGAGTAGATTTGAAGTACTGCTTTAATACTGCTCCTTGTAGAATTGTTGAGCATCAACGCTTTCA